GAGCATCTGCTGCTGCCTGGGCTCAGCCCCACAGAGCCACACCAGTCCAACCTAGTGTTTGAGCTGGCAGGGGACAAACCAGCCTAGCACAGGGAGGTTCTCCCGCTCCCAAAAAGCCACGGCCCACTAACACCACACAGGTGAGCAGCCAAACGTACAGGCACTGCTGGGCAGAGGAGCCGTGCGCGTGTCCGGAGGAGCCCAACCCCAGGGGAAGGGGCTGGTGCCTTACGTGTCGGAGGAAGCAGTGGCTGACCCGCAGTGGGTGGTTGCAGCAGCTCTCAAGCTCTCGCAGGAAATACTGGCTGTGGAAGTCATAGAGTTTCTCCAGGTTCCCGAAGATGACGCTGCGCTTCCCGCGCAGGTCCTGGGGCAGGTCGAGCCGCTCCATCTCCGGGAAGTAGCTATCGATGATATAGCAGAGCGACCGCACGTACTCCCGCTCCGTGGTCACCATCTCATCAATGATGTGCCGCAGCTTGCTGCAACGGGAAACACTCGGCCTTGAAGGGAGCTGCAGCGGTTGGAGTGCCTTCAAAGCTGGGCTATCCCTGGAGAAGATCTCCCCGAGACCCAACAGGGAGATGAGATGATCCCTTAGCACCACCCAAGCTCACATTCACAGCTGTCTGTGACAGCTCTGACCCTGAGCACTGACAAAGCTCATGGCTGACCTAAGGATCTCTGCTGGCTTTTCTGTTCAGGAAGGACAAGCCCCAGGTCGGCTGTGGTCCTGACCCAACCTTGGCAGGACACACACAGCCCCTGGGCCCATCCAGCCCCTGCTCTGGACACAACAGGCTGACCCACAAACAGCCGCAGTCCCGAAACAACAGGCTGTCCTGGTTTTTGCTAGGATAGGGCTAATTTTCTTCTCAGCAGCTAGAAAGCGCTGGGTTTGGGGTTCAGTGAGGATTGTTATGAGAACAACGCTGGTAACTACAAGGACACTGTGCTGGGGCAGTTTCCAAGAGCAGAGGACCGGAAGGGGGGAGTAGAGAAAAGTGTAGGAGTTAGTAAAACCCAGAACTGACAGCTGGATGCGCCAATGAGATATTCCAGATCATATCATGTCATGTTTAGTGTATTAACTGGAGCTGACAGGAAAGGGGGGATATTGTCTCAGGAATCACTTGGGCTCATTTTTCCAGGATTGCAATTTCAGGTTCAGGGTTCCTTTTCACTCCTCTGGGATCATTATCAGCAGGTGGTGAGCAATTGTAATATGCATCACTCAGACATATATATATATATATAGTTGTTATCATTATTACTCTTATTATTTTAATTTTATTTTTACTCTAATTATCAAATTGTTCTTATTTCAGCCTACAAGTCTCCTCACCTTTACCCCTTCAATTCTCTCCCCAATTCCCTGGGTGGGGGAAGGCTGTGAGTGGCTGTGTCTTGTTTGGCTGCCAAACTCAGTTAAACTCTCACACGGGGAGAGCAGAAGTCATAGTAACTTCTGCAAGGAGTAGTCACCCTGCTGACTGGATGCAGTGGGAGGCAACGTTACCCCTGGGGGAACGTGAGCTCTGGTCCCAGGTGCTGTTGGGTTTGTCCCAGTAAAAATCAGAGTAGGAAACAAACCTCGTATCACTGCCTCAAGCAGCAGTTCCTGGCACGGGCTGCTCTGCATGGCTCTGAGAGGATCCGCTTTTAGGTACTCGGGGTTTCCACTGCGAGGCAGTGCAGCACCAAACATAACTACTCCAAGTGTGTCTGCCTTCCCTGCCGCTCAGCTGTCCCCCAAGCCATCTCCTGGCTCTTCAGAGGATGGACCATGATGGGAGGGCGGCTGCGTGGCTCCCTTGAGAAGCAGAGCCATCAGCCTCCTATCTGCTGGTGTTCATCCCCTGCCACGAGCTGTCCTGGCACATGCTGGGCTATCAGAGGCCCCTTCCAGAGGATTTCCCTGTCCCCAGCCATCCCATCCAGAGCAGAAGCACTGAAGGAACTCCATAGTCCCTGCATCCAGCACTCGTTTCTCACCTCTACCACTATTTTCTTTTAATTCTTTTCCAGTGAGAGCAGCTGAAAGAGCTGCCTGGTGGCTCCTGCTCAAGAACAGCCCGTGTCGCTGGGCTCTCCGTGTTCCAGGCACACTGCAGTGTGACAACAAAGTTCAACTGAGACCCTCAAGGACAGGGAAGGAAAAGAAAAGAACAAAAGCCAGCAATGGCCTCACAAAGATCTCAGCCCCAAAGGACAACTATAAACACCCTCTTACCTGTGAAGCAGCTGTAAGAGGGTACTGGAAGTGCCCCCCACCAGTCTGGGTACAGCCCCCCAGAAGTGTTGGGGTGATGCACTATGCTTTTGCTCTCACACTGCACCCCTACCACTGGTTGCTGGCTCCCTGAGGGCTATGTTTCTGTGAACCCTTGTCCCTAACACCAGCAACGTTCAGAGACTCCCTCTCCAGCCTGGGAACTGCTCTTTCCACGCTTATGAAGGAACCACGATGTGGGGGAAAGAGCAGTTTCTCTCATTTCTCTGCCTCCCCACAAAGGCAGGTGCCAGCTGTGTGGGGACATGCCTGTGGGCCCGCTCAGCCCCACACACAGGGAAGCTGGAGCTCTACCTCTCCACCCATCCACCACCACTGCTCTTCACACCTTTGCTGGCCACCTTCTCACTGCCCTGAGACCACAGCACGGAGCGTCACAGTCGCTTACCTGCCCCAGCTCCTGGCTTCCGACGCGGAGAGGCAGCCCCTCTGTCCCTCCAGCAGACAGTCTGCAGCCCAGCTGTGAGCAGTTGGCTGCCGCAGAGCAAAAGTCCTGTCCACCAGCTCTGTGCTGCTCACCTCCAGCCCCTTGATAAAGACGCCGGTGTTGCCGTACCTGGCCGGCTCGCTCAGCGTCCTCTGGCAGCCTGACCACAGGCTCTCACCGCAGGGGAGGTCGAAGCTCTGGGCCTTCCGGAGTATCCTCCTGGGAGGGGGCTTCCCAGAGGCTGGCGTGGAGGTGCAGGACGGCTTCACCTCCAGGGTTTCTAATACAGTCTCCAGGTTTGGTTTTTCTTCAGGCAGCTTTGGAGACTTGGGGACCCCACTGGCAAAAGAAACTCTGCTGGAGTGAGGACCAGGGCTGAGAGCAGCTTGGCAGGCAAATTCCTCCCCAGCACTGACATCGCCAGGGCAGCTCAGGGAGGGTGAGGGAGCTTTCTCCTTGGTCCACCCTGGAGAGCAGCTAGGCCTGTTGTAGCAGTGGGACGCGCTGTAAGTCCTGTCCCAGTGGGACCCGGGGGAGGCCCCCTCGGAGTGCCTGCGGTGGGACAGACTGCCAGCCTCGCTGCTGGCCCGGGGCTGCTCCCCTGCAGCTGGGTTGCGGTCTGACAGCAGAGACCTCCTTGTTCTCAAAGCTGCTTCAAGTTTCTTTTCAAAAACCAGTTTGGTCTCTTGGCATTTGGACCATGCAAATTTCCATTGCTTGAGTCCCTTGTCACTCTTCAGCTCACAGGCCAGCTCCTTCATCTCCTGGAACCGGGCATCGCTAATGTCCGGATGCTGCCCCCTGTAACTCTCCAGGCACTTGACCACCCCTGCGCAGTGCTCAGTGGAGCTGCAGTCCTCCATGCTGATGCAGGCAAGGTGTCTCATCCCTTCCAAGGCCCACTCGTACGCCTGCAGAGAGGGAGAACAACAGGCATCAGCCAGTCAGAGGGATTCGGGGAAGAATAACCCTAATTCGGTGCCTGAAGACAAGAGAAAGGATCAGTGTGTGGCCACCACAGTTCCTCGAGTGTGAGAGGAGGAGGGGGCTGCTATTGTCAATGGGGTTTAACAATTCAAGCAAAACAAACAGCTCCTTATGCAGATGCCTTCAGCTGTGCTGGCTGCTCCACCACAGCTCCACCTCCCTGCCACGTCCCTGTGATGCTGGGCACCCACGCTGCTGGGCATGTTTGTCCTCTCTGGGCAGGGTGGCCCAGGGGAAGCTGCTGCCAAGACTGCAGGAATTCACATCTCAGCAGGTATAAAACCCTGGAACTCGTCCTCCTCCTTCACCCAGCTGTTCCCACCACTGCCACACAGGACAAGGTCAAGGGGGCCTCAGAAAGCTGCAAGGAATGGGATTGCTGCTCCCCACACCGTTTCCCTGGAGCTGATGGCACGCGGAGGCCTGGAGCTCAATCAGAGCTGGGCTCTGTGGATCACTCCAAGTGCTCTGACCCATCCTTGCAGTGAGTAGGAACTGGAGATCGTGCAAGCCCAGCACAGCTTGTGCATTTTCCGTGCCCGCTGGCACCCCAGCGCTGTGCTGTGCCCTGCCCACCTGCCTGGCCCTGCTTGCTACTGCACCTCATGCTTGTGCTGGTGAGTCGACTACTGAGCTCAGCACTTCAGTTCTAATACTCCAGGAATCCTGGAAGCAGTTTCATGGGGCTTCACTCATACCTGACCTTGCTAAAACAGCTCTGCTCTATCAATTGAAGAAGAGGAGTGGGACAAAACGTGGTCCAGTGTGACAGACGCAAGGTGAGAGTGCCTCACCACCACAGCACGAAGGGGATAACGAAGCACCACACACTGAGACCTGTCTGTCATCAATAGAAGTGAGAAGAAATGCAAACATCTGAATCACTCAGGCTCACAAGCCACTACTTTATAAAGCAGGGATGATGACAAGGTTTAACTATAGAGCGAGATGCGACCAGCTGTCACAGGCCTGGCCAGGGAACTTTACTGCTCATCAGTGAAAACACAGAGTTACTTGTTAAAATCTGATGCACGGGGCAGGGAAAACATCCAGGACAGGCCTGGTACCTTCCACCACCTGCCCAAGATTAGGAGATGTGTGGAAACACCACAGGCTGCCCCTGAAGTGAGCCAGACCTTCTCTAGCACCTGGCCTGCCATGCCCTGCGAGCAGCAACACTCAAGGTTAGTGCCAGGAGCAGTGACCAGTCTTAGACCATTTTCCACCTGAAAAGCCTCACTTTGAGAATCTTCACTCAGAGAGCTTAAAGCACTTATTTTTATGCAGAATAAAGCCTTAGACACCAAGAAAATCCACCCAAGTTTTATGCAGACACAGAGCAGACGCTACATCCCCATCAGGGATGTGGTGGTCAAACAAATCAGGTGCCAGGCTCCTCTCCGTCGGTGACAGAGGCAGTCAGGGCAGGAGGTGTTTCATTCACACGGTGCCTACCTCCTGGATGGGGAAGGTGATGAGAAGCACTAGTTTGAGAGCCGAATGCCAGCATGTGAGGAGTACCCTGCAGACTGAGCACAGATGTCCCAGGAGTTCCCACAACCATCCACATTGCTCTTCTGAGCTGCAGCTGCACAGCGTGCGTGCAGCCAGAGCCCCATGACTCACACAGAGCAAGGAGCTGCTTCAGAAACACCAGCAGCTGCTGGGGAAACTGCTTCTCAAACAGCCCCACGCACCCACAGCACAGGACAACCAGAAGAGCAGCAGCTCCCTCTCCTCCCATCACCCTGCCTAGCGCAGCAACGCACCCCTGACCTGCCTCGCTGCATCCAGACCTTCTGCTTTCAACTTGCCCGCTGCTGGGGGCCGGGAGGGTTGTGCAGAGGCAGAGGCCATGCCAGACCCTGGCGAGAATCTGCATTTATCCGTGATGCAGAGGGGCTTTTATTCCCTGGAGGCAGAAGCACATCAAGGCGAGGTGAAATTCTCACTGCAGCAGACCCGCCAGCAGTGACAGTGACAGTCCAGAGATGGCCTTTTGGCTTTTCTTTTTCTCTTTTTTTTGAGCTGCTCCCTCCAGCTGTGTGCAAACTATTGCCAGCCCCTTCCAGCTCTGCCCTGAGCAGGGACTGGCTGTCACTGTGGGCTAAGGGCACGTCCCGTCTCTCTGGCTGTGGAGGTCAATGGGTGATCCTGACCAGCTGGATGCTGGCTCCCTTTCGCTCACTGATGGGAAAAACTGAGCTCAAAAGACACATGGGGCTATTAAAAAAAAAAAAAAAGGAGAGAGAAAAAAAGAGAGAAGAGAAAAAAAGAGAGAAGAGAAAAAAGAGAGAAGAGAAAAAAGAGAGAAGAGAAAAAAGAAAAAAGAAAAAAGAAAAAAGAAAAAAGAAAAAAGAAAAAAGAAAAAAGAAAAAAGAAAAAAGAAAAAAGAAAAAAGAAAAAAGAAAAAAGAAAAAAGAAAAAAGAAAAAAGAAAAAAGAAAAAAGAAAAAAGAAAAAAGAAAAAAGAAAAAAGAAAAAAGAAAAAAGAAAAAAGAAAAAAGAAAAAAGAAAAAAGAAAAAAGAAAAAAGAAAAAAGAAACGGGGAGGGGTATTTTCTTAGAGCAATGTGCAGGAGGGGCACAGCCAGCAGACCAGCCTGGCCTTTAGGGCACCCAGCTGGGAAGGCAGCTGCCCTGGAAGGCCACCTTTGAGGCTGGGGACCTCACCTCCATGCACAGATGGGAGAGAGAGAGGAGAAGAAAAAAAGGGGGAGGGGGGGAAGTTTTATTTCTAGGAAACTCTACAGATCTGCGTGGGGGACCAGTGAGGAGGAACAAGGGCTGGAAACCACGCAGGGAGCCCCCCCAGCTCTCATCTTCATACGGTGTCTGTCTGCTCTTGGCCAGGACTCCAGGGGCTGCGCAGAACTGACTCTCACTCTCTGTGGCGTTTCTTCCATCCCCAGTGCCTGGCGCAGGGCAGGGAACAGCTCAGCTTTGTTCCCTGCACAATGGGAGCAGCCCCCCAGCCCACAGCTTGCTTGGTGACATGCTAAGTGGCCACCAAGGCTTTCTCTAGTCACATAATCTGCTCCGACTGCCCCTGTTAGCAGATGAAATGGCAGCCCTGTCCCGGCACCCAGTGTGTCCCAGCACCCAGAGGGAATATCCTCATGCAGGTAGGGGCACTGCTGTCATTTCTGTCCTGGTCAGACTGCAAACCAGGTTTAGCCAAGCCAGGATGCTGCCCTCAAGCTGAGCTTCTCTGCTGTCCTGGTTTTTGCTAGGATAGGGCTAATTTTCTTCTCAGTAGCTAGAAAGTGCTGGGTTTGGGGTTCAGTGAGGATTGTTATGAGAACAACGTTGGTAACTACAAGGACACTGTGCTGGGGCAGTTTCCAAGAGCAGAGGACAGGAATGGGGGTGGAGAAAAAAAGTGAAGTAATTAGTAAAACCCAAAACTGACAGCTGGATGCACCAATGAGATATTCCAGATCATATCATGTCATGTTTAGTGTATTAACTGGGGCTGACTGGGAAGGGAGGCTGTGAGTGGCTGTGTCTTGTTTGGCTGCCAGCCGAGTTAAACTCTCACATCTGCAAAGCTGCAAGAGCTGCTCATATATAGGAGGAGGCACCTGTGTGCAGGGAAGCTGAATCTTCCCAGCCGTGCCTGGAATCAGGCAGGAAGCAGCTTGTACCTCAGCTTTTGATCTTTACAGACAAGTTGTTACTGAAACTCTCAATTACAGGATTAAAGTGCTTCCTGCAGACACAGGGCTGACCTATCGAGCAGCTCCATGAGGAGTCAGCAACAGGTTGGTCCTGCCAGGATGCCCGGGGCAGGCAAGGGCTCTTGGGGACCTGCTGTGATGTAAGGATGAGCCAGGGACTTCACTGGAGCACGGTGCAACCCTCAAGCCCATCACCCTGCCTTGGTCCCTGCTCATTTCACCATGGGCAAGGCTTGGAGTGCATTGAAGCTCCTGGAGCCTGTTGCCTTTGGCACCACTGAAGCGTCATCTGCAGACACAGGCCAAGAGAAACTGCTTGGGGAATGCTGCCAGCACTGCCAGCACTGCCAGCCTTCCAAGGGTCCTGGCTTCTCACCTGAGCCACCATATCACACCTCCCCAGCCACAAACCCACCAGATTTCTCTCAAACTCAAGATCCAGCAATCTCCAAGACACCTTCTGGGTAACCAAGACAGGAGATAATCATCATGCATCTGCAAGCACATGCCAGAGGAGGGGGGTTGCCTTTGTCTCCACACGGGGAGAGATGGAGAAGGTTTGGCCAACGTCTATAACTATTTTTTTTGTCACGTAGGAAACAGTGTCTGAATAGGAAGAGGTAGATGGAGGAGAAAGATCACAAACCCTCCAAACTTTGTGCAGAAGAAAAATGCACCTGGATGGGCGACTAATTCTGCTGCCAGTAGGTTTTCTTCTGAATCCCAAGTAACTGCATAAGGGAGCTGAGACAGGGCTGAGGAAGAGCCAAGACTGATGCTGGTGGGAGCAGCAGTACAGGCAGGGATGCGACACAGCTGTGGGTGTGACGACTGAAGAACAGCAACAAGACAGACCAAGTCCCCCATCCTCCTGTGGCCACATCCTGGGACCACAAGCCCCTCACTCCTTTGCTTTCTACAACACAGGGAGAGGGAAGCAGCACAACAGCTGGGAGCACTGCCAAGGACAGCGAAAAAGAAACCCATGTAATCAAAGAAGCCCTGATCCGGATTAGCCCTGATCTGGATTGCACGCCACTCCTGTATGCAAGCTGTGCTCCACTCTGCTTTTGTTAGCGAGACACAGCTAATTGCAGGTCTTTGTGGCAAGAAACAACTGCACAACTCCCCGTTTAACAAGACCCCCCTCTCACTAAGTTCACTCCCAAGAGCCTTTAACTTCAGCCGTGAGTCTGGAGAGCAAGATGAGGTTGGCTGGCAGCAACAGAGACAGAACTGGTGCAGC